AAAGAAAGTCTTATCATGATAGAACAAGAAATCTGTGTGTGTGTGTGTGTGTGTGTGTCCAGTTGAGAAAAGAAGAGTTGCTTTAACTGGGTCACTGTGCTGTGAGTGAGATAGATCAGTGTTTGACCTGTTTTAGTATTTCTCCCAAACATTTATAGCATGTTGCAGAGTTAGGGGTTGGTTGGCACAGGGTTTATTTTTGGATCATAATTTGGTGCTGTCACATAAATTGTGTTCTCTTAACCTACACTGATTTAATCTATTAAAGGGGTCATATTATGCTTTTTTAAAGATCATTATTTGGTGTATTTGGTGTAACAGAATATGTTGACATGCTTGTAACACTCCAAAGAGAAAGGAAAACTTGAAATCGCATCATATGACCCCTTTAAGGCATTAAAAAGTCAAAACCCATCAAGGTAAAATTAAATGTGATTTGGAGAAATTCAGCATTACATCACTTGCTCACCAGTGGATTTTCTGCAGTGAATGTATGCCATCAGAATGAGAGTCCAATAAAAACATCACAATAATCAAAAAGTAATCCACACAATTCACAACTGACTCAGATCCCTTAACATCTTTTAAAGCAAAAAGCTGTGTGGTTGTAATAATCAAATTAATAATTTAGATGTTTGTAATGTTAAACTGTTGCTTTTGGCTATAATACGACTCCTCTATCCATAATATTGCTTTCTCTAGTAAAATAGATGTCTGGTCTGAATGGTTAACCAATGCTAATTCAATATATAATTCTTAAAATATTTAATCAGCCACCAGTAGAGTTGGATGGTACAAATGCACAACATTGTCAATCATTGTAAGATGTTTATCATTAATTAATAAAAGTTCAGAAATATTTTGTGACATTGAATTTATTAAAGGATGGTTGGATGGATTTATCCTAAAATCCATTAAGATGATGTTTCTTGTAGATTGTTTTTAACAAAATATACTTAAAAACAGCTAATCGAGGTCTTTCGGTAGAAATTACAGTTAGGTTTGTTATAGCAGAGTGAAAAGTAAACTGCAGGAAATTGAATGTCTAAAAGCAGGACTGAACACCACTGACTGAGGTTCCACCTGAAAATAGTTAAAGGAGACATATTATGCCCCTTTTTACAATATGTAATATAAGTCTCTGGTGTCCCCAGAATGTGTCTGTGAAGTTTCCATTTATTATAACATTTTGAAAATGCCTATTTTGAGTGGAAGCAGAAACACGCTGTTTTTCGGGTCTGTTTCTTTAAATGCAAATAAGCTGCTGCTCCCCGCCCCCTTTTCCCGAATAGAGCTGAGCCATTACAGCTCGGACCTGCTAAAAACATCTGGTTTGGTTCTGATTATCATGTTTATCGCGCTGAAATCATGCGTTTTAAACCATATGAGTTTAAACTTCTGATATAAGAAGCACCGAAGCACACGGACAGAAAGCGGCTGTCACAGCATGTGAGTACTAAGCGAAGTTTTCATTCACATACAAGTTTACGTTAAAAACACACACGAGTTACAAAAACAGTCGGTTATGACTGTGAAGGTAAACTGCTGGGAAATAAATCGCATATTTATTTTAGATCTGTGTGGCAGCAGCAATATACAGTAAATAAATCAACAAATCCACTGCTCTGTTGTCTCCTCTGAGGCTGGGACGCTAAACAGTTTTCTGTGCTCCTCTGTTCAGCCAAAGACAGAACAGTTAGCATGTTTTGCTCAAACTTTCGCCATGGCATTAGAACTGGTACACCGTTGTTGCTTGTGAAATCAAATGAAGGCACCGTGGGTGGAAACTTACAGATTAAGGGGCGGTAATATTATAATGAAATCCCTTTGCCACGTCACCAAGGGAGCAAAATCAGACACGCTCGTTTTTTCAGACACTTGCAGAAAAAGGCTTCCCAAAATTTTTTTTCCAGGTTAATCTTTTTCACGTTTCCTTGGTTGGTAGATGCACTTGGGGACCTGATTGTAGCACTTAAAACCTGGAAATGTCAGATTTTCATGATATGTCACCTTTAAATTACAAGGGTTCCATAACATAGATTGTTTAACTTTGCGATGTAATGCCATAGTGCATAATGTTTTCTGTCAGTTATTAAACAGGACCTTATTTATAATTGTAATTTAAATAAATAAATACATTTAGGGTTTTAGATCACATTCACATTCACTTTATAGATGTGTGTGTGTGTGTGTATATATATATATATATATATATATATATATATATATATATATATGTGTGTAGGTGGATGGATTATCTCGGCAAAGGAGAAGTGCTCACTAACACAGATTTAGACAGATTTGTGAACAATATTTGAGAGAAATAGGCCTTTTGTGTACATAGAAAAAGTCTTAGACCTTTGAGTTCAGCTCATGAAAAATAGGGGGCAAAAACAAAAGTGTTGCGTTTATAATTTTGTTCAGTGTATAAAATGTACATGTAAGTAAATTCAATACAAAGTTACTTAGAATGCATTAGAATGCCTTCACTGCACAAGAAACCAGTGGGACTGACCATGCCATTTGAGCTCACTGACAACGCTTCCTAGATGTACTGCTATCAAAGCAACACATCTACATTTCTATACTGACGTTTATCCCATAAGACGCTGTCTTCTTCTGAACTGTCAAACCTCTCCACAGATGGTTATAAACAGCACACTGTCCTTCGTGCCACTGCAGGGGTAAATCAGGTTACACGTCATGGCCTGCCCTGTGGCTCAGGAATGTTTATCGTTCCCAAGACATTTGTGTAACCCCAAAGTGCTGATGTACAATGCCTCACATAGAATTTAATCTTTGCCCTTTCACTTAATGGATATAAATTGACAGAATCAGCAACATAGAACAGCAACAGAAGTGATAAATATATACTAATGTTATGGGGGACTGCTGCAATAAGCTGTGGCTGATTAGGGCAGAGATCTAAATTACTATTATTAAAAGACTAGTAAATCACAATTAGTGATAGACTGATATATGAGTCAAACAGATTTGTCTGATGTTTGACCATCATGACATTATCAGTCTCAGGTGATAATCATTCCAGCTTGACACATTAATAGAAGTGTTATTTTTAGTATTTGATAAAAAAAAAAAAATAAATAAATAAAGTGATTTTGTGTTATTATTACTTCAATATGTTCCTTGAGGTTCACTTTTAATAATTAATAAGTGGTAATAATAATTAATTCACTTATAATTAATTAATAGTTAATAATTAATCATCATATACATTTGCAAATATTATTATTTTCATTCCTCATTCTGATCCTCTGTCTGAAATTGTTCGTTTTATGCTGATGATACACGGGTTAACTTTTTGAGCAATGTTGCCATCAGCGGGCAACCAGATGAGACACAGGGCCCACGACAGATCTAAAGTATCCAGATAGAAATGTGTTAACCATTCTCAATGGGAAAGTGCCCAAGCAGCATTGCTCAAAAAAGTTGCCCGGCAAAATTGCTCAAAAAGTTGCCCTGTGTATCATCAGCCTTAAGGAGGTGGCTTGTCAGTAAACAGCCACTGTTATGATTGGCTAACATCATTGCAAAGAACTAAAGTATCAACATTCCTTCACTATTGCACATACTGTAAATGTTTTCAAAACATTATCCATAAAAAAAACATAATTTACAAACAAAGCATTGTTTACTTGCAGTTTGTGATGTAGCTGGCTGCTGTCAAAAGCAGACTATGTGTAAGGCTGTCCAAGGCTAAGACCTCCCCTGGCCACGAGTTGGAAATTAACGGGGCAAAAATACCAAATTGTACTTCAGTGATTATAACAGTAGTTTTTTGAGAGTGCTTAAACTCACACTAGACTGAAGTCATTGATAATGTTCTTTGATAATGCATATGTTTTTGCACACTTTTTGTATATAATTTATTTGCTGTTTGAACAACCAAATGAAAATATTATAATTAGTAACAAAATGACTTTTAAAACATATAAAAAAATTGTATGACATGACACCTATATCCGATGCTTGCTTAAGAAGATGGGTTTATGATGGGTGCATTTAATAGATTACATTAGGCTACTTTTAGCCTACCCTGGAGTTGGTTCACTCTACACACCTGTAAACCAGATTCAGTACAGTTGGCTTATTCCTCATTCAACAGAAGTTTCCTTGCAAACTTTCCATTACACTGTGTCTCGTCTACAAAACAGTCTGCAGTAAGTTGCTCCAAACAAACATATAATCCTACAACAAGATCCAGGACAGCATTCAAAACAAACCATCCACTTGTTCTTGACAATGGGAACCTTCTGAAGGCTGTACAGACTCTATTATGCTATTTAAAACGTACACATAAAAGCAAATGTTTTTTTATGTTTTGTTTTGTACCATTTGTCCTGTTGTCGGGAGTAGCGAAAGCTCATGGAGCATGTCAGAATTTGACTGGCATGAAAATGGCCTGCAAACATATAATTTAAAGGATGTTAAGATATCGTTAAGGAGTTTTTTTTTTTCCTATATTTATTTATTTATTTATTTGCTGTGTCACTCACATTACAAAAAGAGCAGTTCAGTTGTATGAAAGCATTAGAGAGGTATTTGATGTTTAAAACCTCTATTATCATATACCTACACAGACTGAAGGCAGATTTTCATTGGATTACCACCAGTGTCTGCTCAGAATGTTCATACAGAGAATGTTGCTCTGAAATGGAGTCTGTGAAAATTTAAAGAGATTACAGACTGTTTCGAATGCTCGCTTTTATTCTCAAAGAACTGTAGGATATATTTCCGCATGTATCTTTTTTTCCTACTGCTTAAATTAAGTAATTTAACATTTTGGAAATTACCTTTGGTTATTTTGTGAAGTCTTTAGAAGAAGTGCAAGTTGAATTGCTGTTCACAGGCAGGCAGAAAAGCTTCATGAGTATCCAGCGGAGGCATTAGTGTTTGGGTGTGAGAGATGCAGATGGTCTCTGTGTGTGTCATACTTTGCCACTGCTCATTATTTTATTAAATGGGATTAGCCAGTAGAGTCTCAGTCTTTGTTATGACAGGTTGTGGAACCTCTATCACTATGCAAACTGATGCATTTATTAGAGTGAGGGGTGGAAAAGGATCAACGATTCAATGGCATTATATTTGTTACTGAACCATGAACCAATACATGCTTTCATAATATGTAACACAGAGTTTTACAGTACTTGTTCTAAATGGCACACAACTTAACTTTAGTGTGAACACAGATGACAAATCTATAAACAACTAGCCTATTAGTCAAACAAAGATATTGTGACTAAAAATAAATGTACACTACCCAAAGTTCATTTACATAATATATGCATAGTTCATATACATAATACCCATAGTTTATATATTAGTGTATTTATATTTACTCCAACAAATTGTATTCATATTACCATGACACCATGTCCAAGTTTGTACATTTACAGTTATCATTATGTTGTTTTCTTTGCAGCTACTCTCATGTATTACAACAATGCATGTATATTTAAATTTAAAATGTCATTAATGTTTATTTCTGTATATCTGATCTGTGAATATGTCCATGTTTTTGTATATGTATTGTACTACTGTATATGTACAGTACTTTAAACTATATGGGGTTAGAAAAGGTTCATGCATTATGTAAGAGACACCTGCATTCAAAATGAAAAAAATCAGTCTCTCAGTCTTTTAGAACAATCTGGCATTCTCCCCTCTTCTCCTGCCACACACTGAACTCTAAATACCTTCAGAGCTGCATGTGCTAGCAAAAAGACTCTGACATTAATAGATTATAGCTGTAACGAGGCGACAGGGACGAGAGATGTGCGGATCCATCTGCAAAGCTTTATTCTTAAACATAGTCAAAACAGGCAAGGGTCAGACAATGGCAAACAGGTATTTAGAGGGCAAGACAGAAGTGTGATCCAATAAACAGGCGTAGGTCGATCAACGGCGAACATAATCCAGAGGATGAGGCAGGCGAGTAATCCACAGACAGATATTAATCCAGGCGAGATGCAAACAGAATCCAAACAACAAGACGAGAGAGAAATCCAAGACAGGCAGGTTATCAGGAACAGACAATCAGGCAAAACTAGACGTTACGAAACAGGACTAGAACTAGGAACTAAACTAAACTCAGACAGGATACTGGCTCCGTAAAGTGCTACCACTAGGAGAGTGATAAACGCAGACAATACTCGGCCATTAGAGAAGGATTTGAGTGGTTGATATAGTGTGTGTGTGATTGGCTGCAGGTGAGTCCAATCAGTGCATTGGAGCGTGGGAAATGTAGTCCAGGGTGACGTGCAACAGTTTGTGTGGTGTGAGAGTCAATGTAATCAGAAGGCGACCTCTGGTGGCGAGCAGGCGGAAGACCACGGATCGGTTTCGTGACAGAGCCCCCCCCCAGGGTGGTGGAGAGGAGGCGGAACAGGGGTAGGGGTAGAGGGCCAGGTCCATGTGGAAGTGAAGGGACAGGGGATTGAGGCAAAGCCAGCAGAGCAGGATGCCAAGGCGGAGCAGGGAGCCAGGGCGGAGCCGTCAGAGCAGGGCGCCAGGACAGAACCGGCAGAATAGGGTTGTGACGGTGAGGAAATTTTCCCACCGGTTAATCGACGTGTGACAACACCGGTAAT